TCGGAAACAGCGCTTGTGATCAAACACCAGTTGATAGACCACCTGTGATCAAAGACCCTCTGCTGAGAAAACACCTGTGGTCAAACCCCCTATGGTCAAACCCCCTATGATCAAACCCCCTATGGTCAAAGCACCGCTATGGTCAAAGCCCCGCTGTGGTCAAACCCCCTATGGTCAAAGCCCCTATGGTCAAAGCTCCGCTGTGGTCAAACCCCCTATGGTCAAATCCCCTATGGTCAAAGCACCTGTGGTCAAAGGTCCTAGGACCACTAATTTGGTTAAAATTTTAATTAATCTATAAAAAAAATTAATTAGGCATCCAACTGAGTCAAACGTAATATCAGATTGCATTGTCTTTATGTCTTGACACACTTGCCAATTTTGAACGGAATCTATCAGCTAGAAGTGCCAGAAATTTTCTTTAATTTTTACCAAGCACAAGAAAAAAATACGAAACAAACACTTACTAGTCATTACACTTACATTGTGTTCACGTCATACAGCCTTCGTCGACATACTCTCTAGGTTTACAGCGTGATCAGTTCTTTAGCTGGGCACCTCTAGTTTCTCATACAATGTAAGTATCATGAAACATGTAGGTATTTACCACAGAAGTGGGGACAGTTGCGCCTGATTACTCGATATATTCCGATTGGCAATCGTGCCCTCTACCAGGACCACCTTGTATTCACAATAATTTTGTCAGACTAAATAGTAAATACAGCAAGCAGTAGTATACATTTAAAACTGCAATTAACTATGGCAGAAAATCTCAATCTTGCTTGTGAGACATAAATGGAATATATTCCTAAAATAGATATATCCTAACAAACTCATATTTGAACTTTTGTTAATTTTTTTCCGGTTTATTTGTTTGTCAGTGATTGTTTTTTAGTCTTGGATACATGTATGTTATATCTCGATCATGTCGTGCTAATAATACTGTATTAATCCAGCTCATCTTATAGAAGTATTTATTGCTAACTATACAAAGGGATGAAATTTATAAATAGATATTTACTTTTAAATTAATGATATTTATGATTCTAATTGTTTTTGTTTTATGCCTGCCGCCCTAAAAAACTATGCTGATAATAAGTCTAGACTGTGTATCTTTATTTTACATGATAAACATATTTATTTCGGTATTATCCTGCTTGCTCTAATCATCACTTTAAAAATATCGATAAATAAACTTAATTTTCGTGCTCCGATAGCGTTAGGGATAGGGTTAGGGATAGGATTAGGGCTAGGGTTAGGGCTAAGGTAGGGTTAGGGCTAGGGTTAGGATTAGGGTTAGAGATAGGATTAGGGTTGGTGTTAGGGTTCTGCGGTTGTAAACACACGCATGCGCAGTACCATCGAAAACATCGCCGCGAAGGCAAGTCGTAGTATCGCATGCGTATCGCATGCGTATCTTATTCCGGCTAGCATCGGCCTAAATATTTTGATGCGTCTCGTCATCATTTTATATGCTCCAGGGAATTTCTTATACAAAAGACATTTCTTCCGTAACATCCTGCACCGCGTTTGCACTGCATGTTTGAACTATAAAGGGGCGGCTCAAAACACCGGTGGTAAAATTTTATATGCATAGCAGTAGGAAAAAAGATCTAGTTTTCTTGAAAAATTTGTTTTTACCCCACTGGTATACAGAGTACACATAAAGTAATGCGATCGTGGGGACAAAAAACGTTAGTCGCTAAAATATACAGAAGATCTCATGAGAGACCAAAGCTTTTATAAAATAAAACAAATTAGTTTTATTTACTTAATTTCAGTGCATTTAAAAGCGTGTTGCTATAAAGTTTTTTAATTGTTTTATTAAAATGTAAAATACTAGAAAGTTTAGGGGAGATCACTCACGCTTTTTAAATATACAATAGAAAAGAGTAGTGTGACAGTTGAATGGTTGAATTACAAATATGGTTTTAGGTCCATGAATCATGAAACTGAACTCTAGTTTGTATAAATTGTTAACTTTATTTCCATGAGAAGAATAGCCACGTAGCTCATATCTGAGGAAGCTATTTATAATAGAACATTTGAGCACACAACTATCATTCTGCAGTCGTCTATGCTGGCTGTATGGTGGCTGTATGGTGGCTGTATGGTGGCTGTATGGTGGCAGTATGGTGGCTGTATGGTGGCTGTATGGTGGCTGTATGGTGGCTGTATAGTGGCTGTATAGTGGCTGTATGGTGGCTGTATAGTGGCTGTATATTGGCTGTATGGTGGCTGTATGGTGGCTGTATGGTGGCTGTATGGTGGCTGTATAGTGGCTGTATGGTGGCTGTATGGTGGCTGTATGGTGGCTGTATGGTGGCTGTATGGTGGCTGTATGATTGTTGTATGTTGGCTGTATGGTGGCTGTATGGTGGCTGTATATTGGCTGTATGGTGGCTGTATGGTGGCTGTATAGTGGCTGTATGGTGGTTGTATGGTGTCTGTATGGTGGCTGTATGGTGGCTGTATGGTGGCTGTATGGTGGCTGTATGGTGGTTGTATGGTGGCTGTATGGTGGCTGTATGGTGGCAGTATGGTGGCTGTATGGTGGCTGTATGGTTGCTGTATGGTGGCAGTATGGTGGCTGTATGGTGGCTGTATGGTGGCTGTATGGTGGCAGTATGGTGGCTGTATGGTGGTTGTATGGTGGCTGTATGGTGGCTGTATGGTGGCTGTATGGTGGCTGTATGGTTGCTGTATGGTTGAGGGGATCCCTTCCAATACTTGAATAAAGAACAAAGAAGAATAACTACGAGCGTAACCATAACCACCATCACAGCGAGCGTAACCTTTATTTATACATTTATTTAATAAATGATGTTAACCTAGATTTTTCCCTTCCTTAAATGCTTGATTTTGTCAGACTTTCCATTTATCACTAACACTACTGTGATTGTCAACATGACAATGAGATTGACATTGATATTGACATTTGTATTGGCAATAGCTATAGCATCACTCTATAATCATAGCAATATGGACTCCCATTCTATTGTTCTATAACAGCTTTCCTCCATGCTATAGATCACGGGTTCCCAAACTGGGGGTCGCAAAGGACTTTTTGGTGGGTCACCAACTGGTATACTAAACCTTAGTATTGAGAAACAAAACAAAAATATTTAGAAGAATATCTGAAATTCGGCTTTACTAACATCACTGGAAATGGAATAGAGAAGAAGCAATGTGTGCTGTGCAAAGTTGTTCTCAGTCACGAGTTCATGAAATCTTCAAAACTAAAACGTCAATTTGAGATGAGTCATTCAGAACACACCAAAATAGATATGGAGTTCTTTCTTCGGCATGAAACTAGATGCAACCGTCAGAGACTTGATGGAACAGGAAGTTTTCACCAAGGAAACACAGCATTAGTGCAAGATTTAGATGAAGTCGCATTAGAAATTGCCAAGCAACAAAACCTGTCACACAATAGGAGAAAAGGTCATCAAACCCTGCATGTTGATGATGGTGATAATAATGATTGGGGATTTCAGTGCAGTAAAGATGCCACAAATATCTCTGCCAAATAATAATATTTAACAGCTTATAGTTGACATTTCCGTAGATGTTAAATAACAAATTTTGAATGAAATCAAGCGTTAACCATTGTATGCATTTAAGTTGATAAATCAACAGACGTGAGTTCGTGTTCGCAGTTGCTGGTCTTCGTCTATACTCATTCAGATGATAGCAAAGAAGAGTTGCTATTTTGTGAAGATAGCATGGAGAAAATAAATACGTTTTTTTTAACTGGATGATTAAAATGGGTTAAACGGCTGTGGGGGTATGTACGGATGGTGCGCTATGTTTAGCTCAAAATCGGGCTTTCAAAAAACAGAAAAGATTTAGCTCATTAAGCACTGCGTGATTCACCAGTATGCCCTCGCCATCAAGACTCCATTGCTAGTAACAGTCGTACATTATATTTAATCTGGAGCATTTAAAGAACTGAGCAAAGAAATTAATATAAATCACGAGATTCTGCTTTTCTACACTACAGTACGCTGGCTGTCAAACGAATTGTTGTAAATCGTGTTTTTTTAATTGAAATCTGAAATCAAAGTGTTCTTGGAATTGCAAAGGAAACAAGACCTTTTGGTATACTTAAAACGATATAGAGTGGTTGGAGAGAGTATCATACCAAGCAGATATATTCGAACATCAACAGAAGCTTAACCTGAAGCTTCAGGGAAAATGAACGAATATTATCACTTTCCATGATAATCTCCGGGCATTTTTATTAAAGCTGCAAAATTGGCGAAAAAAAAATCGTGGAAGTATTGTAAATTTGAGAAACTCTTCCATGTGGTTGATGAATCTGACTGTGAGATAATTAAAATTATACCCAAACTTAAAAATTGATTGACTTTTCGAGAATAGATTTTCAACACTATTCTCCGATTAAAAACCAAAATAAGAAATAAATTGAATGTTGATAATGACATAGGTTGGCGTTAACAATAACTCAACCCCGAATGTTTAGTTACTAGCATGCAATTTTACTCATCGTACTAAAACAGTTATCAAGGGTAGTACATATTGAAAGTCTTCTAGAAAATGTTATTTTAGTGCTTATTAATTTCCATACTAATTTCGGCTTTTTAATTTCATGGGGTTCGCGGGTCACTTACTTTTTATAAAAGGGGGTCGACACTCGAAAAAGTTTGGGAGTATAGATCTAGTACTGACCCTCTCTTTAAGATCTAAAAAAAAACACCTGACCCTCATCACGTGACCTATTCATAAATCAAAAAAATTTCTTCATATAACGTACCCTGGCATAGATTAATTACTTGCAAAGTTTGAACCTGGAAGTTTTAAATCGTATGATTAAACGAATTAATTTTTAAGAAGAAATAAGAAAATCAGAAACGAATATATATTTAAAGTAGAAATAAGAAAATCAGAAACGAATATATTTTTCAGAAGAATTAAGAAAATCAGAAACGAATATACTTTTCAGAAGAAATAAGAAAATCAGAAACGAATGTGCTCAACACTTTTTTACTGCAAATAAAAAAAATAATTCGTGAACTGATCCAACATGGCGAACTCTCCTGATACCAACAACCGTGTCAAACTGACCCCTTTTATTTGACTTAGACGTTCAGTGTGAGGTCACATGACAATGGACATCGCGTCACGACATCTCTGATGGCCAGCTTGTACATCTCCACGTCATCAATCACACAAGAGGTCAAGCCTAGCGAGAAGCTGTCCAGCTTTTTGCACGGCTGTATACTGTGGACTGACTTGGACGTTCAGTGTGAGGTCACAAGACAATGCACATCTCGTCACGACATCTCTGATGGCCAGCTTGTACATCTCCACGTCATCAATCACACAAGAGGTCAAGCCTAGTGTGAGGCTGTCCAGCTTTGTGCACGGCTGTATACTGTAGACACACAAGTAGCATATACAATAAAACATTACATAGATGTATAACACACCATAACATTACATATACAATGATGTTGTAGGCGTGGTGTTGACAAGCACTGTACTAGAACCTAGACTCGGAGCGTACAGACTTGGAGCGTACAGACTCGGTGATCTTGGACGTTCCTATGTATACACAGCTCTGATGGGAACCTGACTCTAGTCCACCCAGATCTGATGGGTACCTGACTCTAGTCCACTCAGCTATGATGGGTACCTGACTCTAGTACACCCAGCTATGATGGGTACCTGACTCTAGTCCACCCAGATCTGATGGGTACCTGACTCTAGTCCACTCAGCTATGATGGGTACCTGACTCTAGTACACCCAGCTATGATGGGTACCTGACTCTAGTCCACCAAGCTATGATGGGTACCTGACTCTAGTCTACCCAGCTCTGATGGGTACCTGACTCTAGTCCACCCAGCTATGATGGGTACCTGACTCTAGTCCACCCAGATCTGATGGGTACCTGGCTCTAGTCCACCCAGATCTGATGGGTACCTGACTCTAGTCCACCCAGCTCTGATCGGTACCTGACTCTAGTCCACCCAGCTATGATGGGTACCTGACTCTAGTCCACCCAGATCTGATGGGTACCTGACTCTCCACCCAGCTCTGATGGGTACCTGATTCTAGTCCACCCAGCTCTGATGTGTACCTGACTCTAGTCCACCCAGCTCTGATGGGTACCTGACTCTAGTCCATCCAGCTCTGATGGGTACCTGACTCTAGTCCACCCAGATCTGATGGGTACCTGACTCTAGTCCACCCAGCTCTGATGGGTACCTGACTCTAGTCCACCCAGCTCTGATGGGTACCTGACTCTAGTCCACCCAGATCTGATGGGTACCTGACTCTCCACCCAGCTCTGATGGGTACCTGACTCTAGTCCACCCAGCTCTGATGTGTACCTGACTCTAGTCCACCCAGATCTGATGGGTACCTGACTCTAGTCCACCCAGATCTGATGGGTACCTGACTCTCCACCCAGCTCTGATGGGTACCTGACTCTATTCCACCCAGCTCTGATGTGTACCTGACTCTACTCCACCCAGCTCTGATGGGTACCTGACTCTAGTCCACCCAGCTCTGATGGGTACCTGACTCTAGTCCACCCAGCTATGATGGGTACCTGACTCTAGTCCACCCAGCTCTGATGGGTACCTGACTCTAGTCCACCCAGCTATGATGGGTACCTGACTCTAGTCCATCCAAGTCTGATAGGTACCTGACTCTAGTCCATCCAAGTCTGATAGGTACCTGACTCTAGTCCATCCAAGTCTGATGGGTACCTGACTCTAGTCCACACAGCTCTAATTAGTGCCTGACTCTACCCCACCCGTCACGTGACTATTATAAGATTATCTTTGATTCATTGATCAAAAATATGTCCAACTTATTATATACACCGATTAGAATTTGTGGATATAATCTTGGTAAACCCTAGGCAATATGTTTTTATACTTTTTATACCTACATTTAATTTTGAACCAAAAAACATTTTGAATAGTATCAAAAGCAAAAGATGAACAAATCAGAGTTCGCCTACCTCTTGAACAACACTTCAAAGCATTCCATGTCTATGGGGACACGAGTACGGAACTTCAGATGATGTAAAGTTTTCTGTAAACACAGACGATTATATGAGTACAAATAACGAGTGTTGTTTTATTAAAGTTGCGTTGGTCTCAATTAGTTAACTTAACGCTAACTCCGAGCAAACAAATGTTCTGAATGGACAATGATTTGGCTCTATGATTCGAAAACAAATACGTGTATCTTTCCCATTCGATCACGTTTGTTAGCTAAATACAAACACGTAAAAAAAAAACTAGTTTTCCTAATACTCCCATCCCTCCCATCCCCTTCACCTGAAAGTTTTGTCCCATATGTTGAAAGAACTTCTTTATGTTCTCTACAGCGGTGACACTGCCAGATTTCCACTTGACTTGATAGAGCGGCATGGATGGTTTGAGAATCGTTGTGACGTCTTGGAAGAACGACTCCATGAATGTGAGTTTCTGAGTTAGGTTCAAGACTTTACAATTAAGTATTAAATTATAATTATTACTAAAATAATAAACAGTTAAATATCAAAATTCTATATAATAGTTTCGCTGTCTGTGTATCTTTCTGTGTATCTATCTGTGTATGTATCTGACAAGAACGCTCTAGAGAAAACACAAGCAAAATAAAAACATGCATAGTAATACGGAAACGAAATATGACGTCATATTGAGCATGTAGTAGAAAATAATATCAAGCCGGAGAGTGCACACAGTAATATGACGTCATTGATTCTCGAGTAAACATTGAATAAAAAGGCAATTTTGTCTAATCTAAGTGGTTTGCGTAAGAGTTTCTTTCATGCAATTCTTCGGGTAGTGGCTATGTGCGACACCAGTGTTTCTTTCAGACTTTTTCCTCCCCTGAGAGGGGTGGGAGTTCTTGAAATTTTCGGGGGCGGGGGTAGAATTTTCTGGGAGGGGGCGGACACTGAAAAAAGTATATAATTATATTTCGTTGAATGGGACGGTAGACATGTTTTGGGGTGTGTGTGAGGGGGGGGCGCGGTGGTTTTAGTTTAGAGAAAATAGACAGCACTATCAACCTAGCGCCCGTTGTATCCTTCTTCAAAGGGCCATTTTTCTCGTTAAATTATTGTTTATATTTCTTTTGTTATTTATAAAACATTGTTATACTGAAAGTTTTTCTGCATATTGTTAAATAACAGCTCACAGATATGGGTTTGATGTAAAATAGGACTCGGAGCTCAGGACATGCCGCTGTAAGCTTCTCCCATGCTAGAGGGGTAATTCGACTTTCCAACTCTGGGATTTTGTCAGCTCGAACTTTGATTACTTTGAGGGTGGTTGTTGACATGGCTAAGCTGAGCAGCAGGTCATCTTCCATATAACAAAAGTTGATGTCCAGCTCTGAAAGTCACAGGGTCTCTCGTTATGTGGCATATGGTGAGTTGACTAGAGCAGAAACCAAGTCAATTATTACGTCACATAGCCTTTACTTAAAAGAATTGTGCGGTTACGTGCTTATCAGAGCTAGGTGGTCAAGGTCTTGTCAGTGTTAGATGGTCAAGACCTTATCAGAGCTAGGTGGTCAAGGTCTTGTCAGTGTTGGATGGTCAAGACCTTATCAGAGCTAGGTGGTCAAGGTCTTGTCAGTGTTGGATGGTCAAGACCTTATCAGAGCTAGGTGGTCAAGGTCTTGTCAGTGTTGGATGGTAAAGACCTTTTCAGAGCTAGGTGGTCAAGGTCTTGTCAGTGTTGGATGGTCAAGACCTTATCAGAGCTAGGTGGTCAAGGTCTTGTCAGTTTTGGGTAGTCAATGTCTTGTTTAGGTTTTTTATCAAAGCTGGCAGGTCAATGTCATTTTCAACATGGACGACTGCTACACTGAAAAGTGTTTGTCTGCTCTCCAAACTAAACTACTAGTGAGGAAATACTAGAGATAACCAGTGCTCACGTCCATGTAGATTTATAGCCATCATCCTAGCTACCACACTACGTCATAGAAAAACGAATGTTTGTTTATTATTGAAAGTATTATTAATAATTATTTACTTTTTTAAATATGTAGAAGAACAGACTAAATCAAACTATTCGTTTAACTTAAAAAACGTCATACAACTATTCAACCCACCTGACAACTTGCTGAAACCTGCGATGGCGCTTCGAAATTGTGGAAGATAGCTCAAGTCATTCTTGTAGATAGCATCCAAGCTAACGAGTCTGGAGATAGCTAGTTTCTGAAGCGTGTTGGCACAGTTTTTACTAGCAGAATTTAACAGTTCCAGACCTTGAAAATTATAAAGTTTCCATTTTTATTGTTAAATAGTTTAATTATGTTTGGAGAAAAATAAGAATTTATTATTTTGATTTTTGGTGCATTAAAAGTATAATAATGCTCAGCCCACAATCCTCTGCCTGAAATGAGGTCGACTGTTGATACTACCACAATAAAATCTAACTAAATGCAAACCTTGCAAGCACCCAACGTCTTTTTAACACCCAATGTTAGACTGTCCATACTGACCTTCATTTACGGTAAAACAAGCATAGCCACGGTGTTTGATAGACTTTTGGCTGTTGCTGAGGTCAAGGACACGAAGCTGCTGCTGGTCGTACAAAACTTGGGTCAAGAGTTGTGCCACCTCTGAAAATGACCTTGACTTAGCGCTTATGCCACCGATTTCCAAACTGCAGATATTGGTTAGCTTGAAGGTCAAAATGTGATGGTTTTGAGAATTCAATAAGTTGGCCAAAAATTGGTACATCTTTGCTGTACAGGATGCGCGGCCCTCATCTCCTTTAAAATCCAAGAAAGTACACATGTATGTTTGTTGTTGACTGGTTCGTACATAGACGCACATTTCCACCACTATTTCTGTGACTTACCACAAGAATGCTTATTGCTCGCTATACATTTTACGTTGATGTGACGTAACGTTTTTCCCGTCATGTTCACAAAAATGATTGCTTTCTCGTCGCTCTTGTTGTCAAACACAAAATCTCCGGACTGCCACCTGGACGGCTCTGAGAGTGGACGGAGCCAGTACTTGCAGGTGAGAGCGGCATGGTACTTGTCGCTGTTGCTCAGGTAACGGAAGACGTGCAGCAGAATGTCGTACGGCAGCTGGCTCCAGTCAGGCTGATTATCAAACACGTTTACCTGGAAAAAAAATATATGATATTACTATACCATATTGCTTCAAATAATTGAATTTATTAAAAAATATATATCTGCACAGATTTGAATAAAACAATAAATAAAAAGGGGTTGTTCCGAGATATTTGAACTTTCACATCCATCAAGTAATTGTCGTACAAAAGTGAATCTTCGGGTAATATTGAAATTGAATTGTAGTCTTTTACGCAAAATCGTATTTTTAAGTTATCTACATAATCTTCTTTATATTGTTTATTCATAAAACATTACATGTCTAACGGACGGCACTGAAAGTGGACGGAGCCAAGACTTGCAGGTGAGGGCGGCGTGGTACTTGTCGCTGTTGCTCAGGTAACTGAAGACTTTCAGAAGAATTTCGTACGGCAGCTGGCTCCAGTCAGGCTGATTATCAAATGCGAATACCTGGAAAAATATATATGGTATTACCATACCATATTGTTTCATATAGTTGAAAAAAAAATATTTTTAATACAAAGGGGTTTTTCCGAGATATTTGAACTATCACATCCATCAAGTAATTGTCGTACAGAAGTGAATCTTCGGGTAATAGTTAAGGTTCAATGAAAACAAATTGAAATGTAGTCTTTTACGCAAAATCGTATTTTTAAGTTATCTACATAATCATTTTTATATTGTTTTTCATAAAACATTACATGTCTAAATTATTTTAATGCTTGAGTGAAGTATTTTTTACTGCTATTTTAATGACACAATTTGATAAATATACTTTTATCCATATAAAAACATAATCATCGAAGTGATGTCGTCAAACTTGGTAAGGTCACCTGAGTACGTGTTTATTAAGTGAAAAGTATGGCTTTGGCCAACCTACCAATTGCCTAAACTATGAGTATAGGACAATATCAGACGTGAGTATGTGACACTATAGGACACTAAAGAACGTGAGAAAAGGACAATATAGGACGTAGGTATAGGACACTGTAGGACGTGAGTATTCGACAATATCGGACACGGTAAGACGTCGGAATACTACTCTATAGGACACAATAGGACATGAGTATAGGAAATTATAGGGCGTGAATGTAGGACATTATAGGACACTAACGGACGTGAGTATTAGACACTGTAGGGCGTGACTAAATTTCACTATAGTACGTTAGTGTAGGATACTGTATGACGTGATTATAGGACACTATAATACGTGGGTATAGGACACTATAGGATGTGACTAAAGGACACTATAGGACTTGAGGGTAAAATCTTAGTTTAGCGTCGTAAATTCGGCCAAAACTAGTAATGGGGGAGAGAGTGAATTAATGTATATTTCTTTAAATATGAGTTTATTTTCGTATATTTTAATAAAATATTATAGATAATAGAATAATAGATCACCATTGATGGTTAAATCAATTTAAATATCCTGAAATTAATATGTGTATCAACCCTGCTCGAGATCGTATATTTACTATTAAAAACAGCGGCCATCTTAAGAAAATGTTATTAAGAGTAGCTTCCCTTTCATTTCTTTTCGTATGAAAATGTATTTAAATATGATTGTCTTGTTGTAGAAGGAGGAGGAGGGTAAATCATGTGACCTGGCTTTGTCCCCGTGTGTGCTTTACGCTACGACAGAGCTATTTTTAGATAACATACGGAAATTGCGCTTATATTGTCACTAGACTTTTTAATAACTTGTTTTAAATTCTGCCCTTTAAAAACTGAATTTCCTAGCAAACAATTTTATTAATTTTAGAAATATTGTGAGATGTAACTTGTATCCATGTATAAAATCAGGTTTTTTTTTGTACTAATGTTTATTTGATCATTCATTACTATTACTATATAGTTTGAGTTTATTCTTGTTGTTTGAATGTTCACTATTTTCATTTCAGGTTTTTCTTTTCATCAATTAGTGATTCTATCGTAAATTATGACAGTTTTTTTTTACATCTCTTTACCTTAATTAAACCCCAACCTCCATCATATTTTTGTTGTCAATGTCACAATTACTTGAACTCGTCATAATGAAAAAAAATACGCTTCAATATGCCTTATCTAAATTCCCTTACCATAATTTTGTCAACAATAAATGTTTGTCATCATTTATATATACAGAGAGACAAAATGTATTATCCACCAGCTTCCCTCGTAAAACATCATCTAAAATAATCAGCACTCTACCCCTTAAGTGCGTGTTGTCATTATGGTCGATCGCAAGTCTCCACCTGTCAAGACACATTTTGGTTATCCTTTGTTGTCAAAATGTCAAAATCAAATGCCCAAATAAGTGATTTGGGGTTGTCCATAAATGATGTCACATATGATTTGCTACCGGAGTGAGTGAAGATTTGTGAAGTCAACGCAGGCGGCTTCGCTATTTATGACGTGTCGATCTCTTGAAAGGAGGTGAACGGGGAAAATCCCTAGGTGATAGATGGATACCCTCTATAATTCTTTGTTCAATCAAAATAACGATAAATAAGCATTAGTATATGTATACCTTGCTCAAAACGAATCATCATAAATGTTTCAAGCCTGCTAGTTTAAGACATTTGGCAAAACGGCCTCAACACATTATCCCCGTCAAAAAGGCTTGCCACCAAATGCCTGCCGACGAATGAGCCGCGTCTAATGCGGGGCGTTTGGAATACGGCCATTAGCATGGGGCCGCGTTAGAGCACCAGTAAGCTATCGCGCTTTGTAAGATGACGTAAATACTTTAATTCAATTTCGCGAAACTGCGCGAAAATTTAGTAACGTTTTCATTGTTTGAGGAAATTTATATTCTTGGACTCAAATTGAAATATCATGTTGACTGTCTGGCTCTTAATTTCTGAATATCACTTTTAATGTATCATGATTCAGAACTATAATTTACTTTAATATAAGTGTTATCTTATCGTTTATTGTGCTTTTTATAAAGCGCAGAGCAGCTTCAAAAGCGGACGGCCATCCTGTTTTCACCAAGCTTGTTTGGAGCTTAATATGTGTAGTCTAGTTCTATACGGTGAGAACTTAATACATTTTTAAAGGGCCGAAAGTCTCAAGACAGCAAGCTTGCAGAAATAACCACGTATGTTTAAATGGACGAGTGATAGATGTATTATGGGCTGTTTAATTAAACACCAACAAAATATGTAATCAAATTAAATGTCGCATAAGTGTCAAAACGACAGTGCTTGTTTTTTTCTTTAAAATTAGCCTAACGGTTGGCGGTACCGGTACATGACGTCACGTGCAAGCGTTAACTCGGTGACGATGTGCTAAGTGGGGGAATGAACAGGGAGGGGGGGTCAAGAAATGCGACTCAACATACTTTTTACATTTCTTGACCCTTCTTAATAATTATATCGTCCCCACTGAGAAAATGGATCACCAATGAATGACGCGTCATACTTCTACAGCTGGTCTTTCTCCCACAACCATCCCGTTTTCACGAGAATAAAAAACCTGACCCGTCTCAAAATCACATCGCTGAGTTCTACTCAACCTCTCCCCACCATAAATCACAATTTCTATCTGAAACAATATGTTCATATGTTTGTTCTGTAATAATGCACGCTGTCATTACTATTTTAAGAGCGACGTCATTTATGGGCGATCTAATATTAAATTGATTACTGCAAAAAAAAATGTTCAAAAGTTCGACCTCCACCTCCCAACAATTGTTGTGGTCTTGGATGCACACTATTAAGTCTGAAAAGGTCTATTAGTCATTCATGTCAAGTATATTGGGGGAAGAAAAAAGAAAAATTAATATACAGGCATATATTTAAATTAAAACAATACAAAACAACCACATTAAACCACAAAATCAACACAACATGCATGCGAATAGACAATTTTTCAAGGGAAATTACTCTATTATTGTTTTTGAAACATGGCCGCTGCTTGTATTTACTCATTGTTGTCTCGAACGGAGTAGTTTTAAAGTTTATTCCAGGATATTTTTGACTGGTTTGGTCATGGATTGTGATTTGTTGTTCAATTGCCTGTCATATTATGTAAAATATGACATAAATATGGCCAAATGAAAGAAATATTCATTAGTTACCTTCATCGCACATTACTAGCTACGTTGGAATATACGACGCTAAACTAAGATTTTACAGACTTGAGTTTAGGAGACTATAACACACTATTTGATGTGTCTTTACCTTTTTATTTACCCGACAAGCCAAGTCTTCTGCAACTTGTTTTAGTCTTGTTAACATGGCGCACTGTAGGCCGTTTGCTTCTCGATGTTATGTAATTTATTTTTTTTCAAAATTACAAGGAAGATGAAATTATTATAAAATTTCCTTATATAAATTCCGCCATATTGGTCACAGGATGTTGAATTAGATGCGCTACACAATATTTGATGACGTTTATCTAATGATTTAAAAAGAAAGCACTTTGGAATCTAAAACGTGAATTTGAATTCTATAATTATTTTGGAGAGTTGTTTTTAAAAACATATGAGATTAGGATAAAAACATCCGTTTGTGTTTATTTTATTACAGTAATATGCATTTAATTAAAACTGCAAAGAACTACTGCAGAAAATCTCAAAATAGATAGATCTATATCCTTACGAACTTACATTTGAACTTTTGTTAATCTCGATCATTATGTGCTAATGATACTGTTTTGATCCAGCTCTTCTTATAAAAGTATTTAACGCTAATTATACAAAGTAATGAAATTTAGAAATAGATATTTACTTTTAAATTAATAATATTTATTATTATAATTGTTTTTGTTTTATGCCTGCCACCCCAAAAAACTATGCTGATAATTAGTCTAGACCAGGGGTCGGCAACCTTTTAAAACGAAAGAGCCAAAAGTTACAATTTACAAAATTTCCCAGGTTTTAAAGCGCCACTCACATTTTTTTATTTCAATATTGTGATATTTTATTAGGATTTGGCATATATATATATTATAGTATCAATACTAATAGTTTCGCTGTCTGTCTATCTATCTGACAAGAACGCTCTGTCTGACAAGAACGCTCTAGAGAAAACACAAGCAAATTAAAAACCTGCATAGTAATTCAAAAAACGAAGTATGACGCGGTCACATTTAGTATAGAGTAGAAAATAATCTCAAGCCGGAGAGTGCACACAGTAATATGACGTCATTGATTCTCGAGTAAACATTGAATAAAAAGGCAATTTTGTCTAATCTAAGTGGTTTGCGTGAAGAGTTTCTTGCATACAATTCTTCGGGTAGGGGCGAAGCCCCACCCCCCGCGTAAGAACGTCTGAGCCCCCCCCTCCCCAACTCAAAAGAAATTTCTTCATCGATACTCTATAATAAAATTACCGCCTAATTAATGTGTCTAATCTAAAAGGTGGTTTTCTTGCAATTTCTTTTTCCTCCCCGGAGAGGGGTGGGGGTAGAATTTTCTGGGAGGGGGGCGGACACTGGAAAAAGTATATAATTATATTTCGTTGAATGGGACGATAGACATGTTTTTTTGGGGGGTGGGGGTGGGGGGGTGGTGTGTGGGGGGGGGGGGTGGGGGTGGTGTGTGTGTGGGGGGGTGGGAGGTGGTGTGTGTGTTGGGGGTGGGGGGTGTGTGGGGGTGGGGGTGGGGTGGGGGTGGGGGGTGGTGTGTGTGGGGGGTGGGTTGGTTTTAGTTTAGAGAAAAGAGACAGCACTATCAGCCTAGCGCCCGTTGTATCCTTCCTCAACGGGCCATTTTTCTCGTATAATAATAAAAGTCGATCGCGGATTGACACCGTTCATACGATCGCCGTGAAACATTGGGGAGTTGATTAGAATACTCCACGAAATGTTTCTGCAAAGACATTTTTTTTTTAATTTCCCAAGGGCGGCACCCCGTGAGGCTGCAATTTTTCTCTATATAGGGTATATAAAAACAATAAAAGTCGGATGCGGTTAGATACCGCACATCCGAGTGCTATGAAACTTTGGAAAGTAGGTGTGAATATTCCCGATATGTCCTCTTCGAAAAAAAATTCTTTTTGGTAGCGCCCGGGAGGTTAGCATTTTTTGTCAATACACGGTTTTGGCGCACAGAGTTTCATATCGGCTATGTTAGCTCTTCGCATCTTTTAATCGGGCGTCCTGCATAGGGGGTAATTGGTACTACTATATTCAGCGGCAAAACTGACATCCGAAGCCCCGAGCTCCCTTGCGAGCACTACAGAACCTACGTTCTTTAAAAAAAAGGCTGTACACTAAAGACACGATGGGCAACAACAGTCGTTGACTTACCCAAATCAAGCGCGTCTCCGGCGTCTCTGCAGTGTGCAATTTGCCGTCCAGGGCTATCCCGCGAGCACTAAGCGACTACGTTAGTTTTAAGGAGCATCTTACAATATTGATAATGCGGCACGCGACATTCGATGATTAAACCGAGCTAGCGGCCGTACTCGGCGACCCTGCGGTAGTGTAATCGGGTTCACAAGAGATGCACTTTCCGTCCCCGACACTCAGGCGTCGAGTGATTAACGGTGATATTACAGTGAGTTATTAACTTACACTCAAGGCTTTTAAACAGCATGCCCCATTGCGAGCTGGGCAGTGGTGTAAATGAACCCGTGCCCCGATAAATATGATCCGAGCAAAGGCATTTTTTACATTAATTATATAACTCAGTTTTAGAAAACAAGGAAGTACATTAAAAATTCATAAAATACGTTTTAATAACAAGCTTTTATGTAATAATGCACTAAAAAGTAGAAAATAAATTATAGACTACTATTTAAATAACTATAAAGAAAAGCGTGTAACGGTACTCAAGTAATCGTGTTTACACACAGACACACACACACACACAGACACACAGACATACGGTGCGCGGACCTTTGACCACAGGTGCTTTGACCATAGGGGGTTTGACCATAGGGGGTTTGACCACAGCGGGCCTTTGACCATAGGGGGTTTGACCATAGGAGGTTTGACCACAGCGGGCCTTTGACCATAGCGGTGCTTTGACCATAGGTGGTTTGATCTAATTAAATTAGTAAAGCTATCCAATAGGTAATAAAGTACTAAAGTGACCCACGCTTTTCTTTATAGAAATTTAAATAGTAGTGTATAATTTATTTTCTACTTTTTAGTGCATCATTACATAAAAGCTTGTTATTAAAACGTTTTTATGAAATTTTTTTTCAGTACTTTACATATTTTATTTACAATAGTGTTACATGACTAAAAACCATTGCGCGTCTATTGAACGTGATGGCGCAGCTATTAAACCTGATGGCGCAGCTATTGAAAGTGATGACGCGTGTGGTGTGGTTGGATTGACATGCCTACTAATTCGGTCCAAATTTTAATTAATTCATAAAAAATTAATAAGGCATTCAAATTTAATAAGTCAAATTTAGTTTCAGATTGCATTGTCTTCATGTTTTGACCCACGTGCCAACTGTGAATCGTATCGGTTAAGTAGAACTGTCCGAATTTTCACTCCTACGTTTCGATCTAGACTGACGACTGACGACTGACGACAGACACAGGAAGTGAGTTAAATAAAAGCTTGTAAAAATAGGGAGTATCTAAATATTCTCATAGAATAGCAAATGTTTATTGTTTATATTTATTATTATATCATTTATAACCAGTGTTGAAGACTAATATTTTTTTGAGTTTTAAAAATAAAATAAAATAAATATTAATATTTGTGCCTGGGACTAAAGAGCCGCATCTTACCATCAAAAGAGCCGCATGCGGCTCGCGAGCCGCAGGTTGCCGACCCTTGGTCTAGATTGAGTATCTTTATTTTACATGATAAACATATTTAATTTGGTATTATCCTGTTTGCTCTAATCATAACTTTAAAAATATCGATAAATAAACTTAATTTCTTGCTACGTAGAAAATGTCATCCAACCCTGCATGTTGATGATGGTGCTAATAATGATTGGGGATTTGCAGTAAAGATGCCACAGATATCTCTGCCTAATAATACTATATAGTGGCTTATAGTTGACATTGCCGTAGATGTTAAATAACAAATTTTGAATGAAATCAAGGTGGTCGGCGTGGTCGAGTCGGTAAAGCTCATGGTTGCTAAACCGAAAAGTCTCGAGTTCGAACCCTCGGGCAGATGAGGCTCGTTAGCTGGGGACAGCCACTCTTCTAGGAGAGACAGCTCCAAAATTAAACAACTGCTGCCTTGTAGTTTGTTCTTGGTTGGACAAAGGCTATGGAAGCAAATCCAAAAAGAAAAGCACGCTGAAATCGGAGTCAATGGCCTCAATGGCGCATAACCAATTGACACGAAACGCTTAATTGTGTTGAAGACGTGGTCGAGTCAGCAAAAAGCTCATGTTTGATAAACCCACTGGCAGATAAAATCTCGATCCCCTTCAACACCAAAAATTAAGAACGAAGAAGAAGAAGAATGAAATCAAGCGTTTACCATTGTTTGCTTTTCAAGTTAATAAATCAACAGAGTTCGTGTTCTTTGTCTATATTCATTCAGATGATAGCAAAGAATAGTTGCTATTTTGTGAAGATAGCATGGAGAAAATAAATACGTTTATGTTTTTTTTAAACTGGATGATTAAAATGGGTTAAACGGCTGTGGGGGTTTGTACGGATGGTGCGCTATGGTTACCTCAAAATCGGGCTTTCAGAAAACAGAAAAGATTTAGCTCCCTAACCACTGCGTGATTCACCAGTATGCCCTCGCCATCAAGACTCCATTGCTAGTAACAGTCGTACATTATATTTAATCTGGAGCATTCAAAGAACTGAGCAAAGAAATTAATATAAATCACGAGGTTCTGCTTTTCTACACTAATGTACGCTGGCTGTCAAACGAATTGTTGTGAATCGTGTTTTTTTAATTGAAATCTGAAATCAAAGTGTTCTTGGAATTGCAAAGGAAACAATACCTTTTGATATACTTAAAACTATATAGATTGGTTGGAGAGAGAGTATCATACCAAGTAGATATATTCGAACATCAACATACGCTTAACCTGAAGCTTCAGGGAAAACGAACGAATATTATCACTATTCGAGAACAGATTTTAAACACTATTGAATGTTGATAATGACATAGGTTGGCGTTAACAATAACTTAACCCCGAATGTTTAGTTACTAGTATGCAATTTTACTCATCGTACTAAAACAGTTATCAAGAGTAGTAGGCTATATATTGAAAGTCTTCTAGAAAATCTTATTTTAGTGCTTATTAATTTCACTACAAACAAATTTCGGCTTTTTAATTCGATGGGGTTCGCGGGTCACTTACTTTTTATAAGGGGGGGGGGGGTCACCACTCGAAAAAGTTTGGGAGTATAGATCTAGTACTGACCCTCTCTTTAAGATCTAAAAAAAAACACCTGACCCTCATCACGTGACCT